GCTGTAATCAAACGGAGCAGGCTAACAGACTTTGGAAGCCTGCTTAACAGCGTCTTCCCCGACATCCAATTCACAAAGGAAGATGAGAATGCAGTGCAACTGCTTTTCCTGGACGTCCTCCTCACGCGCAGATCCAATGGGGAACTCTGCACCACGGTTCATAGAAAGTCTACTAATACAGTCCAGAAGCTCAACTCCCTAAGCAACCACCCAATGGCGCATTTACCCGGCAGTACTAGAGCGGTCTTTCGTAAAGTAAAAATACGCTGCAGTGACGAGTGCGAGATCGACAACATCTTCGAGACCAACTAACAAGGAACGCATAGAGAAGAAGACGACTCGATTGCTTGGACAATACGTTTATTTGACTGACGTTTCGACATCCGTCGCGGAGTCATCATCAGAGACATTAGCAGAAAACAGTAGCAGGAGGGAATGCATACCCGAACAACTTCGTCAGCCGCCGCCTTCGTACTCGCCCATGGGGAATAAACACAGGAGAGCCACTAACATTCTGGCACCCTCCACCGTACATAAAGAATGTCTCAGAAGCAACTAAAAGTATCGCTGCCGAGTTCGGCGTGGGTATTGCTCATCGTCCGACAGTTACCATGAGTTTACGGGTCATGCAAATAAAAGACCAACTGGATGTAGGTGAGCAGTCTGGCGTCGTTTATCAGGTGCCATGCCGCGACTGTTCTTGTCATTATACAAGGCGGACCGGAAGACTAGTTAGTTCGCGAATAATGGGTCACAAATGGGCAGTGTGGAAAGGCGACCCACTGTCTCAGACAGCTACCCACACTCTAGTCATGAATTTGACTTCACGAGCACGCGGAAAATGGCAGGCGCCGCTGATAAGATGGGCTGAAAACTACAGAAGGCCTGGGTGTCAGAATCCAAGTCCATTAACAGGCATGTGGATACACTGCCCGGTTATTTTGCCTCCCCTCCCCTGCGCGCGACCAAAAAGTACGGTACAATACTTGTCCAGACACGCACGCTGCCACGCCAAGGCCATAAGACACGGTACAGTAGTCGCCGGCTATTAAGCCCACCTCGGACCAAGACCAAATTGGGCTTAATAAGCGGCGGGCGCATTA